CCATGTCCAGCCCAAGGAGGGCTCCAGTCCCCAGGTCAAGCCCAGGGAGGGCCACAGCTCCCGAGTTAGGCCTACAGAGGGCCTCTGAAACCGACATTCTCCCCAAGGATTTTTTTTTGGGGGGGCTGCCTGATCTGCCATGGCTCCCCGAGCTGCCTGTTCCACCATGGCTCCATAGTCTACCTGATCCGCCATGGGTCCCAGAACGGGTACCGCCCTGGAGGCCGTCCGTCCCTGCAAGCCTGTCCTGAGAGGCCTCCAGAGCAACCAACCCCCCTCCCCGTTGGTTGTTATGAGGCGCGTGGACGTGCCTTCCGGGAGGGGGGAATAATGTCAATCCTGTGTCTTGTGTTTAGCTCCCCACGTGTTCCATGACCCAGTTTTTCCACGTGTAATTATGTGTATCGTTCCCAGGTCTTTCTCGTCATCCCCTCGCCTTGTCATGTGTATTTAAAGTGTTTCCTGTTCTTAGTTCCTGTTCTCCAGTTTTGAATGTTTTCTTCCTCGCTACGTGTGTGTTCCTGGTTTCCTTGTTCCACTGGATGGTAATTAAAGTATCTTTGTTTGAAGTATTCTCCACGTCTCCTCGTTCCTCGCTCCGTGCTCCTCACAGTAGCGGTGCTTGACATCACCAAGGCTATATTTATTTAATCCAAAATACAGCAGAATGAATGAGTGAGTGAGTGAATGAATGAATGACATCTATTCCGGTGTTGGCAAAGATGAATTTTCAGCATCATTACGCAAGTCTTCGGTGTCACATGATCCTTCAGAAATCATTCTAATTTGCTGTTTAAGAAATATTTCTGATTATTATCAATGTTTAAAACAGTTGTTAACAAATTCTTTCAGGATTATTTGATGAATAGAAAGTTCAAAATAAGCATTTGGCTGAAATAAAAAGCTTCTGTGACATTATGAATGTCTTTACTGACACTTTTAAACAATTTAATGCATCCAAATAAAAGCCAGAGCAACCAACCCCCCTCCCCGTTGGTTGTTATGAGGCGCGTGGACGTGCCTTCCGGGAGGGGGGAATAATGTCAATCCTGTGTCTTGTGTTTAGCTCCCCACGTGTTCCATGACCCAGTTTTTCCACGTGTAATTATGTGTATCGTTCCCAGGTCTTTCTCGTCATCCCCTCGCCTTGTCATGTGTATTTAAAGTGTTTCCTGTTCTTAGTTCCTGTTCTCCGGTTTTGAATGTTTTCTTCCTCGCTACGTGTGTGTTCCTGGTTTCCTTGTTCCACTGGATGGTAATTAAAGTATCTTTTTTTGAAGTATTCTCCACGTCTCCTCATTCCTCGCTCCGTGCTCCTCACAGTAGCCGTGCTTGACATCACCAAGGCTATATTTATTTAATCCAAAATACAGCAGAATGAATGAGTGAGTGAATGAATGAATGACATTTATTCCGGTGTTGGCAAAGATGAATTTTCAGCATCATTACGCAAGTCTTCGGTGTCACATGATCCTTCAGAAATCATTCTAATTTGCTGTTTAAGAAATATTTCTGATTATTATCAATGTTTAAAACAGTTGTTAACAAATTCTTTCAGGATTATTTGATGAATAGAAAGTTCAAAATAAGCATTTGGCTGAAATAAAAAGCTTCTGTGACATTATGAATGTCTTTACTGACACTTTTAAACAATTTAATGCATCCAAATAAAAGTGTTATTTTCTTTCTTTCTTTCTTTCACTACTACTAGCATTTTGTCTCTTTATTAGTACTTATAAAGCACATATTGATGCCCTATTCTGCATGACCATATTCTAGATCCCTTAATCCTGCCCCATAACTAAGCATAACTAACAATTATCTTACTCTCAATAAGAAGTAATTATGAGTTTATTGGGTAAAAAGTCTTAGTTAATAGTAAATATGCGTTCCTTAATCTGAAGTGTTACTGAGTAATGAATATGAAACAACTTTTGATCACCAGTCCTTGTCAGCTATTTCCGTTTTATTCTTGGACAAATTCTTCACAGAGAAAATGTTATTATTTTACTAAATCAAGAAAAAGTGCATAATATCATTTTTATCAAACTTGATCCAAACAGATCGATGTAATAAAGGCAAGTTATGAGGTGCTCTGTTTTTCCTGCCAGTGTGACTGGTCTTCTTAAATTATGAGTGAAAGGAAATCTAATAAAACTGGCAAAAGCATTTTATGCTCACAGTGAAGTCCATGACTGGTTTATGCTTTGATGAAAGTAGCCCATCTTGTTTCAAGACGTGGCCTATTTCAGGGTTACAGGATATTTCAGGGATTTCTTTGCCAAAGTTATTTAATACAATACTAATAATAATAATAATAATAATACCCTAAAATAGGGTATAATTCCTTGATATGCTTTTTTTTATTCTCAAAAATGGGCAGCTGCTGACTTGCATTTTATGAATCACCAAGGACCATGATTTCAGAAGTCTTATTTACTGTACTAAAGAAAAATTTTAAATAATCATTTTAAACCCAGTTTTTAACCTTGGGTAAAGGTACGGTTCACACAAAACACTGAATATTGTTTAAACAGTTGTTTCAGCATCTGTGAGGGAAAAATGTCAAATCTTGATGGAAAACATGTGAATTGGAGAGGCTATTTCATTCTGACCTTTATAGTCCAAAAAATCCATTGAGGATAAACTTGACTGTACAGGTGGCATTAGATAATATGAGGATGCCAGAGCCTTTATGTAAACAGGTCGTGTGCTGCGTTTGTCCAATCAATGACACTGACACAGCATATGCAAATAAGAATAATAACCCTGGGGGTTAGGAACATACAGTGTGAAACGTCAGCTTATGAATACCAGGGATAAATTGTTAAAAATTTGCAAATTAAGAGCAATGTGAAAAAACAGTAAAAAAAAAACAAAAAAAAAACAGTAAAGTAACCCAGGATTCCATTTAGCCAAGGTCTAGAATGATCTAGGGTTAACTATTTCAAGTGTGAAAAGCCTTTGTATTTATATGCAGATCAGATCTGCAAAATAATATACTAAGTGAAAAATCCTTAAACTGTATACTCCATAAATCAGACTCAAGCATTAATTTTTCTAAGCGTATCATGTGCATCTTATTCTGTTTTCCCCTCCTGTTTTCACAATGGCCATCCCAGGCTCTGGCAATACATGACACATTATGCTGTGACTGATTGTATTTCATGATCCTTTGAATGCATCCACCCACATTGTCTTCAGACCAGCAATTATTTATAATTGCGATCCCTCTTCAATCAGATTGTATTATTGCATGCACTTTGATTTCTTATTTAAATCATCAATATCATGCATATGCCTGATGCGACCTGGCGTTTTTTACCAAGCATGAATAACTGAATATCAAAGACATTCAAGGAGCAAATGACAATGTTCTCTTTGCCACAGCAATGTATCAAGAGTTAAAGATATAATCAAAAGTTAAAGATATAATCTACTTTAACACTTGAAGTCTTCCAGATCCACATATAAGTATATTCACTGACATTTACAGTGATTATTCCTGTACTAGAAAGTCCATGACATTAGATCACACATTAGAGTTTTTGCAATTTTTACAAAATACAGAGCTAAAATGTAGCGTGGATTGAAGTTAAAAGTAATAGCAAATTCATGATCATATATATTTTTGATTATTATCATAATCAGTATTATTTATTAATAGCAAATCACATCAAAGTCTTACCAGGTTTGTGTTTT